CCGCATCCAAAAAATACTATCGCCCCAACTCGATGTGGTCGGTTTACGGGCTTGGTCAGACTCGACGATCGTGCTGTCGTGGTTGACAGCGCCACACGAATCATTTAAAGTGTACGTGTCCAATCGGGTACATCAAATTCGTTCGTTAATACCGGATTGTTATTGGCAACATATCGTGTCGGCCGATAATCCCGCTGACTGCGCGTCGCGAGACGTCATGCCGACAGCTTTAGCGCGACTTGATTTGTATTGGCGTGGTCCACAGATAGCGTACAGCGAGCCATCGGAATGGGACGATTCCCGCCCGTCGCTACCTCTGCGTGAGCTACCTGAATTGCGCGTAGTGTCATGTGCTGCGCGTGTCCATGATGAGGAGAAGGAGTGGTTTGTACGTTTTTCCGGTTTTGACCGTATGTTGCGTGTAGTCGCGTATATGCGACGTTTTGTAGCGGCTTGTCATCGAAATGTCGCGCTCCGGCGGAGTGGGGTGACAAGGTCGTTAATAACGCCGGGTTCGGATGTGACCGGCGCCACTTTTCTACGAAAAAACGAGTTAGATAGTGCTGCGCGTGTGTTGGCGGCGGAGTCGCAACGCGTATACTATTTGTCATGCTGCGGCAGGAGTTGGCCGCGGGGGCCCGCATTTCCTCGAAACCGCTAGCGCGATTAGCTCCGTTTATTGACACTACAGGTATAGTTCGAGCAGTAGCGGCTCGTGAGTAAATATTCTGGGGAGACTTAAATTATATAACATAAATTCCATATTCCAAAATTCTATTATATTTTATTTTTGCATTTTAAAATACGAAAAAATCCTGTAATGCTTATAAAAATATAAAATATAATAATAAATGTTAGATTGTTAGATGGATAATATACGTATAATAATTATTAAATAATTAATAAACAGTGAATAAAACGTCTAAAGCTAGTTAAATACGGGTATACACGGCGCAGCGGCACGGCAATTACTGTCCTGAACCCAGGTTCAAAAGCGTCTATGATACGCAGCCTATTCTCCCCGGCTCCCTCCGACCAACCAGCCATGCCATTACATGTTACGTTTGCAACTGACGGGCTTCAGTTTCACTGAACCGGCGACCGTCGTAATGAGCCGTAATGACCCGCAGAAATGACTAAAATAGTATTTCTATCGAGTATCGAGATAGCTATTAATAGGTTTTCGATTTTGTGACTTTCAATTTAATATAATAATAAACAATGAAAACTATATTTTAAATACAAATGAAAATATTTCTATACATTATTATTTTTAATTAATTATATTATTTACAAGTAGCTAGTTTATTTTTAAGGGGAGACGCAGTCTCAAAGTCTCCCCTGACGAGCCGCCCCTGAGTTCGCGTAGGCGGCCGTTTACGGCACTCGTTATTGAATTATGATTGTAAACACCCGGTTCTATTAGCAAAACGATCGCATTGCGCGATGTTGCTGTGCCGCCGATGGCATTTATTATCGGGTCACGCAGGTCCACGGGTTTTGACTGCGCTAATTGCACGTCAGTATTGGGCGATGTCGCTCCGTTCCGTGCTGCATAATATTTTAGTAAATTGTACGGTGTGTGTTAGACTCGATGCGAAACCGTCGTATCCATTCATGGCCGATTTACCGGGTTCGCGCGTACAGCCGCGTCGACCGTTCGAGCAGGTAGGAGTCGATTATGCTGGCCCTTTACAACTAAAAAAGCTGCGGTTGCGTAAATCTCGCATATTTAAAATCTACATAGCTGTGTTCGTGTGTTTTACGACCAAAGCCGTCCACCTAGAAATGGTGACGGAGTTGTCCACTGACCCGTTCTTAGCCGCGTTCGATCGATTCGTCGCGCGCCGCGGGTTACCCACGGATGTGTACTCAGACTGCGGCACCAATTTTGTCGGCGCCGACAAACAATTGCGCGCGCTAATTCAAAGTACCGAGGGCCAGACCGCCGTTGCAAATTTTCGCGCGATGTGGCATTTTAACCCCCCGAGCGCACCTCACTTTGGGGGTCTGTGGGCAGAGGCGGAACTAAGAATTTTTACGCCCGGGGAAAATATTAAAATTAAGCCCAATCATAGACCAAGACAGGCACGGCACTAGAATTTTTTTCCAGGGGGGGCAGAGTGGGGCAAATATTTTTTTTACATGGGCTAAAATTGTTTCAACAAATGCTGAGGTTATTTAAATGAAATATAAATATTTTCGTATCATATAACATAATATAGCTATTAGCTATATAGTACATACGTTTTAATCGTTTTATATTGTATGCTCTAAACGTCTAAACATATAATATTTACAAACTTTTGAATAGTTAAAAATGTTTTAAGAATAATATCAAATATTTTTTTGTACCTTATGTAATATGTAAGAAAATGTTTAATCACAGACCTAAGACCTTCAACAACTATATGTATTCATAATGATAATATGATATACAAAAATAATAATTTCTTTATGAGCTAAATATTGATTTTTTATAGAATACCTGTTTATGCACCATACAGTAAATGATTGAAAATCTTTTAATATTGAAAAAGTTAACAAAAATGTATACAATTGCACTGATATCATTAGGAATACAATTTGTTTTAAATACAAACTTTTGATTACCTACCTTATATTTAACTAGTACATTTTATATTTTTAATTCAATACATTTTTAAATTGGTATTTGCATAGTAGTGTATGTATTGACTATTGAAGTACCTACTTTATATTTTTTGTTAAATTTTGGAGGTTAAAATAGTTCATATATTATATACATTAAAACATAGATACTTTAAGAAATCCTTTTTTATTAATTATCAAGTAATATGTGAACTAATTACCATGACAAATAAGATTATAAAAATAACAAAATAAGAAAATTGAATAAATTATTTAATTATTTGAAATAAGGAATTTGGCATGCTAATTACTAAACTAATATAAGTAGGTAGGTACGAATACCAACTCCTTACACAATAGTATTGTGTTAATCAAACATAAACCTATTTAAAATAATAAGTCAACTAAAAATATTTTTAACTGTATACAACAAACATTAATTATATCGTACATATTTTTCAGTGTTGGGGGGGGGCTGGCGAGGGGGCTGATCTGTTTTCTGGGGGGGCTAGAGCCCCACCTTGCCCCCCCTTGGCGCCGTGCCTGGACCAAGATTGAAAATACAATATCATTCCCTACAATTGTTTTATCATAACTGGAACTAAAATTACAAACATACTTATTAACTTTTAAACACATAATAATATATAATAATTAATATATTCTGTGGACTGTGGTGTAACCAAGTTTATACTAATAAACTATCACACCAAAAACACTTTAAATTTAAAAACTTAGTCAACATATTGTTGATACATTTTTAATTACTGGAAATACTGTATTGGTTACTTAATTGTATTTATTATTAGAAATAATAATAATATTAGTTATATACTTATATATAAATGTTGAAAAATAATCAAAACTTTAATTACCTACCTATCCCGCATAAAAATTGTAAACACTTTTGCTGTTTTGGTTCTATGCGCCTCGGCCTTCAATTATAATAGATTTTTATGGTAAAATATAAAATCTTTTATTCTGATTAGGGTACACAATTTAGGCCAGTAAAAATTGTATTTAATTAAACAATTTATAATAGAAAAAATGAAAAAGTAAATATTTAAAATCAAATCTTTTTTTTAAACATAAACAAATGTATAACTATCTTGGTAAATATTATAATATATAATATTATAAACTATCATATATTAACATCATTTTTAATATACAGATATAATATACGTATCGTACGTTGATTGATAATATTATAACAGTTATTGTGTAGGTATCAGAAATTTTAACGAAAACACAGAATCAATAAATGCCTAGGTATAGTTACTAGTTACATATTCACTCAGAATTATAATAATTATAGTATATTAGTTGTATATGCTTGCAGTAGGTATGCTAATGCCAGTATACCAGTATACACTTAGTATACTAATACGAATCTATTCATAATCTTACTATCAACTTTATTTTTTTTTTCATTAATTCCAACGTCATCACTACAACATCATAAACAAATAATGTGAAATAAAAATGTTTTCTTAACTTCTATCACCAAGCATTAAATAAAGAACTAAAGAAAAATTACGCCCACTAAAATTTTACGCCCGGGGATCAATCCCCGGCTTCACCCCCCTAGTTCCGCCCCTGTCTGTGGGAGGCGGCCGTTCGGTCTACTATAAGAGGCTGTTAGTCCGGGTGATAGGAACCCATGTGTTTACGTACGAGGAGTTCACCACTGTGTTAACCCGCATAGAAGCTGTGTTAAATTCGCGCCCGCTGACGCCCACCTCGACCGATCCACATGACCTGGAGTGTCTGACTCCCGGGCATTTCCTAATTGGGCAACCGTTACTCGCCGTTCCGCCGAGATCAGGTCCTGAGCCCGTCCGTAACCTATCCGATCGATGGAAATTAATGGAACAATGTCACCGCGCGTTTTGGCGCCGTTGGTCAACCGAATACCTAACCACCTTGCAAAGCCGATCAAAATGGACAGAGCGGGTTCCCAACCTTAGCATTAATGATATGGTAGTCGTGATCGACAACCAAAGTCCTCCGCTGTTGTGGCGCCTCGGCCGTGTGACCGAGTTGTTGCCGGGTTCCGACGGTCACGTCCGTGTCATTCGGGTCCTCACGCGCGCTGGTGTAGTTACGCGCCCTGTGGTCAAGTTGGTTAAGTTACCGACCAATGTTATATCTTAGCACATTTAAGCACTGTGCCCCCCCCCGGGAATCCCCGTCGCGCCTGGGCCTTTCGACGCACCGCACCACCTCGCTATTTATGTTGCCGTGTGCTTGTTGGGGGCGGACGGTGGTCGGGGGTGCACAATATGTCCCTTGAATTATTTTGTCCTACATTTATTAGTTTTATGTGTTATTTATTAATTATTATGTTCTATAATTACGAACCATATGTTCATTGAATTTTTTGTTGTATGTTAATTCTACCTCAACATGGAGTTAGAATATTATTTATAGCTGGCTTAGTATTAAAAAAAAAAAAAAAATGTGAACCACTGACTCGGCCTATGGGTCTTAACGTGATGGCTACTGATCGGCAAGGCTTCAGAGGACATCACCGGCTTCCAGTTCCGGTTCTCAAGAATTTACGTGAGATGGCTCTCACGGCGGGGAAGATGTTCGAACGCGGAACGGGTTTGCCGCCAAAACAAAGGCAAAAGCACGGACGCTCCAAGTCGCGTTAGACGTCGAAGCTCCGAGCGACGCTTTCATCCTCCGTAGTCCCGCGCCGCCGTCGACGACCGTCGAGCTGGCCAACGGCCGTCGTGAACATTTTTAAAAACTGTCTTTTTCCAACGGCTGAACGTAGCGCAACGTCCGCGCTATCGCTCTCCGTGTGTGTCGTGCGTTCCTGTACAAACTCGTGTGAACAAGAGGTGGGTAAACTGTGAGGCCCGAGCTGTGATCAGCGGTCACGGTAGACACCTACGGCCAAATTTACTTTTCGTGTTGTCGTCGCTGTTGTGGTACGAGCAGTGCCGGATCTAAGTCTCAGGGGGCCGGGGTGCAACTACCAATGGATGCCCCTTAAAAAAAAATTTTCTCGACTTTATACTTATCTATTTATTTGATACGTTTTGTCGTATTGATATATTAAACAAACTAAAAAACACAACATTTAAATTCCATAATTTAATAGGTAAATTATGAAATTATACATTCACTCACTGTTCTCATATCTATTATACCACGCTTAGATATTATGATGTATTAATCGTATGCTTCTATGCTCGTATAATATAAATTAAGAATACATATCATTAATATGATATTGGCTGTATATTCTCTCTATTGTTCTAAAATGAAAGGACCCAATTATGAATCAGGTACCTCAGTTACCTGAATTGAATACAAAATTATTCATCAATCCTTTATATTTTTTTAATTCATTGTTTTGAACATTTTTCTCCGTCTTTTAGAGGCAACACTTTCAAATTGTCTGTTAGACATGTTTTTTTTTTCAAAAGTCAATAAAAGATAGTGTAGGTAGGTACCTAATTTTTATTTTTAACAATCAAATGAAAAATTAATATAATAGAGTAGGTACGCAAAAATAAAACTGACAAAAGTACAAAATAACATATCTGAAACCAATAACGCTGCATCAAGGCAAAGGCATGTCCGTAAATCATAATCCATTTACATATATTAAACAATAAATACATATAACCACGGTTACATTATTAGTTTGTCCAGCAAGATACTGCACTAGCGCGAGTTCACGAGCCTCTGAGATTGAATAAATAGTACGATTATACGAAAATAGTATACGATGCATAAGTACTATATAATATAATTAATGTGTATATAAATAAATATGTAAAACAAACAATAACAATGATAAATAGTATTACTTATCTAAAATTCAAACCGTCCAAAATAAATGGTTGTCACTTGTCAGTAACATCTTAAAATAATAAAATGTGTTCATTTTATAATAAAAAGTTATAGAAAGTTAGAAAATTTAGGACTTTAACCTTAGGCCCCTAATACAACCTTGGTCTTGAGGCCCCGGTGCAATGCACCCCCTGCACCCCCGCTAAATCCGGCACTGGGTACGAGCCCATAACTCCGCGTGAAATAAAAGTCGCATGTGACGACGCATGTTTTGTTCATCGGTTTCGTCGTGATCGACGTCCGTCACTACGCTCACATCGAGCTTCCGTTTTCGTATATTTACGCCGTTCGTGTATTTAGTATCCTCCGCGTGATCGCGAGTGTTTCTTACGGAAGTACCTACGTCAACATTATTTCGAGTTCAGCAGTCAGCACCAAGGATCGACGCAGTCGCCGAGCCACGCAGTAGCCGTCGTCAGGTTTATTCATTGTTTTTTAGTCCCACGTGTCAGTGGGCTCTTTATATAATTATTGTTCACCAGCTATGGTACTTAGTTGTTATGTTAATTTATACTATATTATTTTGGACGCCCGTTATTTATTTATCATATTTTGTTACACACATTAAACGTGTTTCCGACCTCACATTTGAGTTGTACGCATATATTGAGTAACCCGTCCCCGCTCCAGCCTTCAACACTTTACGCAAGTCGTTGCCGACAACCGCACAATTCGTAGGATCGGTAACGGCGCAACAATTATACATTGTGTATTATACAATTTACATCACTGCTAGTATTAGTAACTATTTGATAGTTTTTATATTTTTAAACTTAGTGAGTTGGTAAAAATTAAATAATATTAATAAATAATAACTAATAAGAAATAACTACATGGTAAATACTTAATAGTTAGTGCTTTAGTAGTTAATATTACAAATTATAATTATTTATAAATCAAGTATAGAATCCTTTAGATTTATCCACTTAAGAATGGTATATTATACGTATAATATGCATGTAATATGATTATCAACTATGATTATTTATTAGATTGTTTCCACTATACATTACATTTTCAGTTCTTTAGAAAAAAATCATTTTTTCATGAAATTTTCAATGAAACCAAATTTTTCCGAAAAAAAACCCGGGTTTTTTTTAGGAAATATTGACCCCTAAAAATTTCAGTTGATAAAAATTACAAATATTAACGATGGTTATGTTTTCATTTGCCAATTATTAATTATATAATTATTAAATAGTTAAAGAGGAGTACCTACATACTAGGTATAATCATTGGTATTAATGGATATGAGTGCTGTGGTTTACTTCTTAGTGTTATTAGTATAGTATATTATATATTATATATTATATTGTCTATTTTTATCATTTAAACAATTCTGTATGTTCTTTTGTCAATATAATAATTTAGGATACCAATTTAAATGTATAATACCAGAGGTTACCCTCACCTATATCTTTTTATTTAGCTTTTATAATACTTAAATTATTATAGCTCAACAGTCAACACTCAACAGTTAGGTTGAGAGAGAAAAACATTAGTAAACAAAATGTTAGGTATACATATAATACCGTACAATTATAAAGGTAATTTATGACAGTTTAATTATTAAAAAAAACAACATTTATTAAAATACTGAAATAATTCATGAATATTAACCATTTTTAAATAGTTTTCATTTTTCAAACACTTATATTGTATCGTTTTTCGTATTATCACATAGGCGTGACTAGACTTCATCCGCAGCGGCAGCCTAGCAAATGATAACCGGCTCCACGTTATTTTCATTAATAAATGAACCGAAAAAAACTCTTTGCGCCCAATATTTACCTATAAACATGTATTTTTAAATCCCCCCCCTCAAAAAATGAAATATTTATATAATTTTAAAAAAGTCTGAATTATCTATTTACCTACAATAATTAATAACATTAGGTACACCATTTAGCTACAAATCAAAAAATAATACAATAATAATGTCCAATAATTGTAACGTCGTCTATCTTAAGCAGTGTTGGGAATTATCTAGATAAAATTATTTCTTTAATTATTATGTTATCTAGATAAAAATAATTAAATCATCTAAATATCTCATCTAGATAAATGTAATGGTTATCTGTAGTAATTTATCTAGATAAATAATATAATAATAAGAATGTTTTTAAATACTGAAATAAATAGCCAATAGCTTACGAGAACCGAGTCGTAGTGATTCCAAATTCCAATATTCTTATAGTTAAAAAATTAATTGTTTACTGAAACATTGTCAGTTTTATTTTGTTATTTTATTTTTATTTAAGTTATATTATTTTAGATATACCTAAGAAATTACATTAAGGATTTATTAATTAATAAATATAATTTAATTAGCAGCTGCTTGGAGGGTGCTTAGCCCTAGGCTACCACCGTACACACTCCTATGCATTATCACATTGTCAGTGTTGGGTAAGTTACTTTACTCGTTACTCAAATAAAATTGTAATGAAATTACTTTAATTTTCAAATAGAAAAGTAACTCATTAATACAATTTTTTTTTTAATTTCTTGGCAATTATCTTTTGTAGGCAAATTGAACAAGCAAATTATTTATAAAACCTGTATAGTTAATAGGATCATATAAAATGTAGTCTTTCACACAAGCTTTATTCGTAGGAAACCTATTTAAAGGAATCAAATTAAATAATAAATTTAATTAACTGTTCTCGTGATTTACGGTGCAATTAGACATTTCAAATGTCAAAACCATTGAAAACTGAGTTGTGCCGAGTTAAAATTAAATACATATACATATTAGATTCTTAAACATAATAATACCCGAATTATATATATATTTTTTTCAATTTGTAATAGGTAGTCAGGTTCTTAATAATTCGAAACTGTAACGCTTAATTCTATTACTTTTCAAAAGTCATTTCCATTACATTTTCGTTACTTGAAAATAATTCTAATTAAATTACGTAACTCATTACTTTCGTTACGTTACTACCCGACACTGCATATTGTTTACAATAAAGCTGTGACATTTTATAATACAATATAATACTATGTTCCTTGACGAACACAAAAGATCTCGTTCACCCCTCATGTGTCCGCCGACTCGTCCATTCTTCATGACGCCACAGGCGGCTAATCCCCTTTTCATGACTCGTTTGACCGTTTACGCATGACCGTTTAAGCGCCACACGCTTTTACAATCGTACCGACAAAGGGAGTTCAACACTCACGGCACCAGGGTCGCTTGGACCATAGTCGTTGTTCTGTTTCGACCATAGGCGTGCGCACGGGGGCAGCAGAGGCAGCATATGCTGCCCCTGGACTTTCTTTGGGGCCACCGGGGCCGGCAAATATTAAATAATGGGCCTCGGTAAAATTATATTTCCACAAATTTTTTTTTTTGTTTTGATAAACTATAGATAAATATTTTATAAAGGCTTGTAGAAAAGTACACCTTTAGTGGCTTAGTACCTTACTGTACAACCTTTTGTCCAAAAAAACAAATAACCAATACAATTTTAATTTTGATATTCAATAGTAAAAAAAGTAAAACTATGAGCTGGTTTTAATGGTGAATTTGAAAAATGGGCCGAATTAATCTCTTGCTGCCCCTGAAACCGGAGGCTGCGCACGCCTATGGTTTCGACTCATTATCCGTCGTCGGCCGAGTCATTGTCGGTGCGAGTGTGGATGGGAGACGAGCGGCGACGGTAGCTGCAACTGGTTCAACGGGCAACACGATAACGGTGTAATATAATATAATTAATAGTATAAGTTTTGTTAATAATAAAACTGAAAATGAATTTTCAATATGAGTATACTTGGGAGTGTC